TGACCAGAGAAATGCACGCCCACAAAGTGTCCTTCCCGTATCAGGGTCGCCATCTTGACAATTGGGCCAGTCCATGACAGAGGGGGAAGGGAAATAATTTGAAACTTGCAATTAAAGTTGCAAGATTAAAAAAGAGAGAGAAAAATAAAAAATGCCAACATATTACGTTTGGTGCCGCTTGTATCTTTCCCAGGCATTCTTTTTTCCCCCCCTTTCTTTTTCTTGTCTCTTAACAATCAGCCCGAATGTGATCCAGGGGTGCTGATATGAGCAGGCACGTCTTTCTCTTGCTCCTCCGGGGAGGCTCCATCTAATGGTGGGGACCAGCACCTGCAGGAAAACGGCTCCAGCGTCCCTTATAGAAAGCTTGTATCTTGGCCTAGCTCAGTTGGTACAGTGGTACACCCCTCCTGAACACAAATGGTTAACAGGTACCCTCACTTTTCACCCCTAGGGTAACCTTCACCACCCTGAAAAGTGTAGTGGGGATCATGTTTTTTTGTTTTCTTGGTTTTTTATTTTTTGGCCTGTTTTGTTTTTGGTCACGGTCTGTATGTTGAAATACTGACCTTGAGTTCGAACACCACTGGGAGCAGATGAATACGTTGAAATACAGACCTGAGTTCGAACTCCAGTGGGAGCAGATGAATACGGCCTGGCTCAGTGGGTAGAGCACGGAAGTGGCATTCAGGAGGTTGTGCGTTCGATTCCTCACAGTACCCAATCGAGCCCCCACACCTCCTGAGGCGCACTGCACGTTCACCAGCTGAGATAAGTCAGCTTGGCCCTCCTGGTCGGCTGGTGGGGAATGCCACCCGTTGCCAGGGGTTAGGTTCGACACTGAGGAGGGGTAGGCTCAACCCTCCAGGGCGGTGTCCTCGACCCATAACCCTTAGTGTATAGCTTGCCGCTAGAGGGTAGACCAAGGTGTGTATCATTTCCTAGTTAGGTAGGTAGTGGGAGGTATATTGAGAGAACAACATAGCTCAGTTTTTGAAAAATATAAACAATATACTAAAATTTCTGAAGTAGTGAGCTGTCAATCTTCCACACCGATGCCATTAGGGCATCGCAAGTCCCACGTTCCTTACTTATTTTCGCCAATTTTATTTCATCATCATCATCATCATCTACCAATCTGAATCTTTATCATCATCATCATCCCCGTTTCTTTATTCATTTTTTCATCAATCAGTAGTTATCTCTGTGTTGGTGGTTATATTCTCATCTCCCAGATAGGCTATGGTCTAGTTGGCAGGTAGGTTGGTCAGGTAGGGAGCGCTACTCCGCAGGGGTAACACAAGGTGGGAGGTGATTGCCCTCCAGGGAGTAGACGCAGATGATGGGAGCTGACCTGGACTGGGGCTGGGAGATATGTATGGGGGCGCATTATCTCCTGGCGGAGGCAGACTAGGTCAGAGAGTTAGTTTTGAGAACAGGGACCCCCACTTCACAGCCCCAGGTTAGCAACCTCAATACTGAAAAGTGCATTTGGCGACGTTTGCGATAATGCCCCTGAAAAAATCCCTGAAAATTTGGGGCTCTGTTAACCACAACCGGGGCATTACCTACCTCCATCAGGCTCTCTTTCTCTGCTGCCGACTTGGATACCACTTCTGCCCGTAATCTCTCCGTCTCTGACAATAAACGGTACTCTTCAACTTGCCGCTCCAGCTCCGTCCTTCTCAACACTACTGCTTGTGCCGACTCTACATTTGCAATGTCCACCTGGAAAAACAAAAAAGACAAGGAAAAAGAGAGAAGCAAGTGTCAGTAGTACTCAGTACTGATGGCCATGGGGAAGGAAAGAGGGGAGGGCATGTCAGAAAAACTTCACAGTGTTCACACACAAAGAATCACCCCTAGCCAATCAAGTCAGCAGCAAACGACCGGCGGCTACTGGTTCATCAAGAACTTCAGCCATACTACAAGTCTAAAACTCACTTGCATATCGCCTCTCCCCCCAAAAATGGGCATGCGTGCATCCGTTGATAGATTGCCACATGGCTGGTGGGGAATGCCACCCCTTGCCAGGGGTTCGGTTCAACCCTGAGGAGGGATAGGCTCAACCCTCCAGGGCGGTGTCCTCGACCCATAACCCCTTTTCCACCCTGATGCAAAATTAAAACAGTGTTACTTTATACTGCAATCAGACTCGTTTTCAAACACACTTTTCACACATGTAAACAGTAACGCAGCATACTGGCGACATGCGCCCACTCAAAACTCAGAGATATGGTTTTCAGATACGA